ACATTGAGATACATTTCGCTTGCTACTTGTTATTATGGCAAAAGGCAATTATTATTACCGGTAATTGGGTAATCTATTTTGGTTTGTCAGAGCATCTTAGATCGCATGACTCTCTTTCACCAATTCAATGTAAGTACTGGTGACATTTGACTCAATTTCTTCAATCAGATGGAGCCAGGCAGAAATCTGTATTTACCTTGCAAATAGCCTCACTGCAGCTCAGTGATGATAAGCTGCATGCAAAATGGTGGAAGGACAAAAAATAAAAAATAAATAAAAAATTGTGATGCCGTGTGGAATAAAACCAGCAAGTATACCACAACACCTCACTGACGAATACACTTCTGACCCAATTAGAGCCATTGACGGTCCTCACTATAGAAAGGGTTGTATATGTTCAAAAGATCAGGGAGAAACGCAATCCACAACCATACAGAAGACTGAGGAAAAGGATATTAATGACCAGAACTCGCAGAGTTTTTGAGTAATGAAGCTGGTTGAGGTAGATTCATCCATCCATTTTCTAATCCGCTTTGCCTCAAGAGGGACACGGATGAGCCTGGAGCCTATCCCAGCTGTCTTCGGGCAGTACGCAGGGGACTCCCTGAATCGGTTGCCAGCCAATCGCAGGGCACACATAGACGAACAACCATCCGTGCTCACACTCACACAGATCATTATACATGATTTTTAAATGAATCATCTCTGCCTGGTGACCTTGTTGTGCTGGATCAGGTACAGGAGTGGCCCATCTGGAGCACCAGGAAAATTCCTGGTGGACTCCAGGTGCTACTATTGAGTCGGAGGGATGCAGTATCCTCAGATCTCTTGATATTTTGGCTTTCATTTATTTATATTAAAACCATTTTTAAATAATAAATTTACAACTGAGGCGGCCCGGTGTTCCAGTGGTTAGCGCGTCGGCCTCACAGTGCAGAGGTCGTGGTTTCAATCCCCGCTCCGGCCTCCCTGTGTGGAGTTTGCATGTTCTCCCCAGGCCTGCATGGGTTTTCTCCGGGTACTCCGATTTCCTCCCACATTCCAAAAACTGCATGGCAGGCTGATTGAACACTCCAAATTGTCCCTAGGTGTGAATGTGAGCGCGGATGGTTGTTCGTCTGTGTGTGCCCTGTGACTGGCTGGCAACCGGTTTAGGGTGCCCAAAGACGGCTGGCCTAGGGTCCCGCACACCCCCCGGACCCTGTGGGGATCGGAAAATGAATGAATGAATGAATTTACAACTGATCTGAATGCAAGCTGTCCTTAGAAAAGACAATTTGACTCTTACGATCAACGTCAATCAAAATCATTACTTTCACACCATCGCAAACAATCAGGATGGCTGAGAACGCACCATTTGTCCTACAGGCATGGTTTCATAAAATGTAATCCTGGAATACCCAGAACCTTGATCAACACATTCCAAACAAAAGAAGCAGCAAACCTAAGTCAATAAATAAATAAAAATATTGTTTATAATTGTGAAGAATCAAGGGAATGTGTATCATTGTGCTTTTTAAATATGATTTGAATGAATGGACCATGAATCGCAGTATGCAAAATGGTGTGAGCTGTTTGTGACAATTGATCAGCGCATGAGATTGAAGCACAATTTGAGAGCAAAGCAATGGCAAATAAAGAGTAAATCATGCTGATCAAAACGTTGCTTTTTACTTTGACTTGTATTATGATTGTTCTGGATTAGATGTGCATTTTATTTCGTGAAACCCTGACTGTGGATGTATGAAAAACAACGACTTATCAGTTACAGAGGATGTTACAGGTATGAATGTCAGCTGCAGACATGTGTGCGTGCGGGTAATTATGGTATGGTCTGAGCCAATAAACTCCAGGGCTAAAAGTCCGTCCTACTCCGGCCCTGGTCATGTCCAGGTCTGTTAACAAAATCATTTCATTTAAGACCATCTATTGTGGCTAAAATTTGCCTCCGTTTATGTTACTTCATTTTTTTAAATGATATTAATTGGCAATATTTGAATTTGCAGATTCTTATTTTAAATTTGTGTCTATTTAATGTTCCGGTGTTATTTGAGAAATGTACAAATCAGAAGTTACCCACCAGCTGCTCCGTATTTGAGTCTTTTTTTTTTTTTTTTTACAGAATACTTATATTTACTCAAGTCATTATTTGGAAAAATACTCTTTATTTGTACTCCTTCCACATTATTCTCAAACAACCCTACCTAGACTTGCACGTGAAAATCAGTTTTTGATTGCTTTACCTGAAAAAAAAAAAAAGAAAGAAAAGTGAAATAAATAAATGCAAGAATTACTCTTGAGTACAATTTTTGGCTACTCTATCACGTTTGACTATTGAAAGACTTGAATTGAAAGATCGGAAAAGGGATAGAAGTAGGTTCGCTGGAAGCGGCCTGGATGACAAAATCCATTGGTGGTAGGTTTTTAAAAGAAAAACAAACAAAACATCATGATTATGAGATGCAACATCCTCTGACATGTCACACCTTCAGAGCAGCAAACATTCCAAATACCAACCATTTATGTTCACAATAAACAAGGTCACCGGGCCAAAAGCCAAGTTGATACTGTTATGACAAATGACACAAAACTTGCCTGCAATTTTTTTTTTTTCTCACGGACCAATAATCACTTACCCTTCCATTACGTGCACTCACTGGCACCTCTATTAGGTACACCTGCACCATGTCAGGGCAAAAAACACAAGAGCTGTATCCCAAAAAAAAGAGCCTTTATGAATATGATGGTGCCAATTATATGATGCATGCAAATGCTACAAATTCAAGTTCATTTTGTTATCGTAGTTTGCAGGGGTATCGAATTGCAAAACATCACGGTGAAATGTCTTTCTAATTAAGTTATAATCGATTCAGCTACAAAAGGCCTCACGCTGAAAACTACACAACAATAAATATTGTTAAATTATTACAGCTCTCAAAGCGCCAATCGAAGCTAACCATTCAATAGGCTAATCTAGTCCAGTTTAATTAATGAATTATACTTGATATTTTCATTTGAGTTGTAGCCCAAATTACATAAATTCCAGTAGCATTGCTATAAAAAAAAAAGGAAAAAAAAGCTGCCACACATTTAGTCACATCTAGAATTTAGCAAGACATAGGAGGTTGTATGAGGTAAAGGTCCTAAAAATTGGTATCATCAGGTAAACAACATTGCACAGCAATTGTGCAAATTCTGGTTCTGGTGGTTTGCTTTAATCCGACGGAAGAGATTTTTTTATAAAGGGGAAACGAAATGCTCAGATTTCATATTTAGATAATGGACAGCAAACATTAAATGTACAGAGGAAATATCCTGGTTTGCTTCAAGTTAAAGGTGTAAATTATGTTCACAAAAATAATCGGTTGTAGAATTTGTAGATGTGTATGTTTCAGTGGTGCAAAAAAAAAAAATAAAAAAAATTGTCGGACATTAGATCCATGATGGTTGATGGATGAAACAAACTCCATTTTGTGTGGCAGCAGAGCTGTTTCCATGGAGCTCACTTCTTTTCCTCTAGGTTCCCGTCTTTCACTGTCTGACTCCACTCCCACCTCCATGAGTGCGCGCTCGCGCGCACACACGCGCACACACACACACGCACGCACGCACGCACGCACGCACGCACGCGCGCACGCGCGCGCACACACACACACACGCACACACACACACACACACACACGCGCACACGCACAAATGCGCGCAGGTACAAACACATTCCTAAAAGAGGATTCAGCCGTGTGACTGAATCCGCAACCAACAACAACAAAGGCTAGATTTCACAATGTTTTTTTTTTTCGACGTCACATTGAAAATCTGTTTCATGTCACCACAAAAAAGATAGATACTGTGTTTCCTCAATTAGTGGCCTGCTCTAATGTGTTTAGTGTGTGAACTGATTGTTGGGTACGCAAATACACGCTTCTCCCAAAAAGACCCTCCCCCTCAGAAAAAAAAGGTGCCAAACAGAATTACCTCAGCCCATAAATGTTATTGTTTACACATGAACATTGAAGATTTAAATCATGAACTCGAAACTCCATTGCTAACTAGAACAACAGCGCCTACTGAGGACAATAAACTGTTTCCCATCTGTCGAAATGAGTTTCCTGTGCTGTATGTAAAGTGTGAAAGTGGCAATTTTCAAGCAGTTAGTGTCATGTCTAGTCATTTAAATGTTCTGGAAAGTAAATCAATGAACCCTGTTTAGTCTGCCTAGATTTTTGCCATAAAACAACGTACAAAGAATATCCAAAGTAAGAATGTCAAATCATACATTTTAAAATGAAGGCCTTCCCCAGATGAAATAATACGTCCTAATAGAAAACTTTTCATCGGAGAATACCTCATGCCATCTGGGGGGGACCCACGTTTATACAAAAATGACATTGGGTCGGCGGCCTTCTGCCCCAAGACAACTGGGACAGCCGCCAGCGCGACCACGACCAAAAACAGACGTCACACATATAGATAATTATATAGGTAATCTTATAAAGCATAAGAACGTCGGGCGTTTAACATCCTTGGTCGGAAAGGGCCAAAATCGGCACAAAAGCAGCCCAAGCAGTTTTCTGAATCTGAATCTGAATCAACTGTCTTTATGTGTGTACTGGGCATAAGTCAAAAACTGTCACAGAAAGTGGACTCGCACAGTTACATAATTCACACAAAGGATCAAGGGTTGTAGGATTAAATTGCTCATTACTGTAATACAAGTATTTATGGTAGTGCCAGTCCTTGGTTTTCATGAACTACAATAACCTTGCTCTTCAGTTGGGCAGACGTGCCACAGCCACTATGTGAGAAAACACAGTAATTGCTCTGACTAATCACACCTACACGATCATCGCGTTATCGCAACAAGCAACCGGTGCTTATTTGCATTGCATTATCTCCCCGTGTCCTTTCATGACAAATGAAGGTAACCCAGCAACCAAGTCCGGAAAAAGATCCATCACAGTGAGCATGTGGCTGAAAACTGACAAAGCAAAACAACTTACCAAGAACTCCAACACGGTAGTTGAGGGTGATAACGATCACATTGCCGTAGCTCGCCAGGACGCTGCCATCAATCATGTTGCCCGTGCCCTCCATGTATGATCCCCCGTGGATGTAGACCATCACAGGCTTGGCCCCGGTGTCTCGTATGTCTGCAAGAGCGGCCATCGTTACCACATTCACATTGGAGGCTCGCCCAGCGATACTCACGGTGATTCGGTTCACATTGACATAGGCTTGACGGTCAACAAATAAAGTGACTATCACCTCCCAGATACCGTTCGCTGACTGGCACGGATGTGTCATGCAATTACATGGAATGCATGAGAAGTCAACTCATTAAACCAATTTCAATTCTATTAAAGTTATTGGCCATCTCGACTGCAAACGACGTGTAATTTACCTCTTTGAAAACAAACTATTAAGCTTGTGTTTGGCTTTCCAGGACACACGGAGGCTTTCCAAATTTGGGCAGGCAGGAAGCCATTAAGGGAGAAGAGAGGAAGCTACTCTTCACATATTCCCTAACCGAGAGGGGCTAATTTGGCTCGACAGTGATCGGGAAAAAAATACTCCCTAATTACACAACATACTTTATTTATTTATTCATTTATTTATTTTTAAGCATAGGCTGGTGTGCGCTCACTAACTTGTTTGCACAGAGGTGCAGGACATTGAGGTCTATTTATTTTACTCCCAAACCAGAAATGGATGGCCAGCTGGAGTGACACTTGAACCAGATAAAGCGCATTCACTGGCAGAAAGGGAAGAGGGGAAAAAAAGCCTCTGTCTGAGGAATAGCCTTCTGAATTAGTGAGGGGCTAGCAGCAGCGTAGGGACAAGACAAGAAACGCTGTCTCATTTTCACTCCTCCCTCAGTTTGTTTCACCTTCAATCACAGACTTGCCCCTATCTTCCTGCTGTCTTTCTCCCATCTCTTTCCAGCACCAAGCTTTCTTTTCCCCTCACTCTCTGAGTGGTGCGAATGAGAAGGGGTTCAAAGGGGAAAAAGTGATGAAAAAAGGAGAGACTGACTTAAAAAAAAAAATGTGTACAGTTGAGAAAAAGAAAGAAAATTGTCAAAGCAAAAGGTTGAGGTTGAACTTGACTTTTTAAAAATGGTTGCTATAGTGACTGAAAAAACACTCTAAATGGTCCGCCACATCGTGAACGGCCCTCTCTGCATCTGTAAGCGCTGCTCGTCATTATGCACCCCACAAGTGTTAATAAGATGCATTTTCTAAAGCAGCCTTGACACAATCTCCATCGCATTGTCCCTTTGTTTCTTCGCGTTTAACCGAATGTACAGCACATAATGTTGGCTTTCAATCTGATTTGACTTTATTGGGCTGGTATCTGGGAGGGCGACAGTCAAATGTGATTTACGGCTGACACTTCTATGTGCACACATGTGTTGAGCAATAAGAGGAGAGGATGTGTGAGGTGAGACAGCATGGGAGGTCAGGTCAAAGGGAAATGCGAAGGAAAAACAGACAAGCAAACAGATACATCGGGGGAGGAGGCAGGAGCAAGGGGCAGAAATAATCAAATAAAAAAGACACACCTTCAAAAGAAATTAGTCACGTCAATGTCATCAGACACCTCTTTTGTTGATTCACATCATGTCGCCATGACAACAGTTCAAGCCCTTTTGGGAGTGGGATATGAGACGCTTCAGCTCAATTTGTTGAGAGCTATTTATTGCCTTGATTTAATGTGGAAGGAGTCACACGTATCTATTAACAACTTGCTTATCCATTTGTGTCAACTACTGTCATCGACTATTTTACGAATGTATATATTATAGTTGCAACATTATTTTGATGTAAGGAGATATTATTAACCAACAAGATAGCGTTTGATGATTGGTAGCAGGAGCTAACGTCAGAAAACTGCCTCCTGCCTCTTTCGTCTGTGTCAAGGCAAAAACACCAACATGTAATTGACCGTTCCTTCATAAAACTCATGAAACCATAATATAACGAACATTAGCTTGTGTGCTCGGTGCTAGAAAAGAAAAGGAGAGTTCATTAATGCACATGTCATTACAGTGGGAATACAACACCATGCACAATTAAAAAAATAATGCATGGTCATATAAATATAGAAAGAATAACAAGATGAATTTTTGTACAAGACGTGCTGGTGTGCAATCATTGAGAGGCATTTAGAAAAAAAAATTGAATGACTTTTTCTCACACACATTTTCACTCTGACATTATTTGGCCACGTCACTCAAATATCCACATCAACAAGACATTGGACTTTAAACTATTCCGCTCCCAATGTGAGGGTCACTCCATGCATAACCTCCAACGATGACACTCTCAAAGTAAAACACCTGTGCCGCAAAATGCTAAATTTTCTCATGGATGTACTATTCTTTTCCATCATTTCAAAGTGTTTGGGGCATATGCATTTCGAGCAGATCTTTGTGGGTGCTGAAGCATCCCAAAAGGAAATCCAAGCACCCCCTAAAATTTGAGCGGTCTGAGATTTCACTGACTGTGTGTCCTTTTTTCTTAACAAGCTGGAAAAGTGTTAAAACTCACAACCATACAGTAATTGATAAGCTTTTTATCAACAAAAGTAAATTCCCCCCTCGCCCACCCCCGCCTCAAAAACAGTTTGATCCACCGGATCCTGCTCACCTCAAACCCTAATCCTACCCCACCTCTACTCACTGAGGCGAGCTGAGTGTGCAAGTCTTCCAGTCACATGGAGTACTGTATTTTGAATGCAGAGCCGTACTTTTCTGAAATATGGAAAATGTCTTCACTTCTACCTCTATTAGCAGGGCTCATTTCTGCTCCATTTAACCAAAACTCAATGTTTATATTATTAGGGAGGAGTTAGATTACATTTAGTTTCTAGCTAGGAAAAATAACAGGCGGTCAGACAGTACCACTGTCCATTTTGAATTGCAATGAGTTAAAAAAAAAAAAAAACACTTTTGGCATGTGAATGCGCTAATAATGTGTGTGGCCTGGCCATGCAGCTAAACACGAATGCCCCCCCCCCCACCCCCTCTCAAATGTGCTCTGGATCCAAAACTGACAGCACCCCTGAACTTCTGATCCTAGAATTTCCCCTAGTTATGCGTATGGGCCATAATATACGCTTGAAGTTGCTATGTCAAAACTAATCCAAATATGTTGAAACAGCTACACCAGCCCTGGGACCAAAGGGGGAAGAGCCAATTCTAGGTCATTTATACAGTGAAACTCCTCTACAACGAAATCATGTTTGCAGCAAGAAATTTTTCACAACAGGGGTTTTTCACTGTAGCAAATTTGATCTCAGATGTAAGCACACACACACCCACACACACAAACGTATGTGTACACGCACACACAAACGTTTGTGTACTCTATTTTTATTCCAATAGTACATAAGTATGAGCACACACTTATTTGACACTTCATATTGTCAGTGTAGAAAGAAAAAAAGGGAAAGAAATTGCGAAATTTACGATCAGCATTCACTTTCACTTACATCAATTTCTTGGAAAATGTATTTTATTTTGCTTGCTCCGTCTTTCATTTTGATCACTTTTACCCTCTCTTCCAGCATCAGAGCTCTTCTTGTCTTAGCTGCTTGACATCAAAAGGTCCGTTTTGTAGCCATTTTAGCAATGCAACGTCCATCCTCGTCTGAATCTAACAATAACAAATACTTCCTGGCATGCAATGAACTTTTAAGCCAGCCACGGGGCGCTTCGTAGTCCTCGATGGCCATAGTTAGCTCTCGAAGACTAAAAACCTTACGCTAACTGGAGCGCTAATGAGAGAGAAGCGCTCCAGTTAGCGTAAGGTTTTTAGTCTTCGAGAGCTAACTATGGCCATCGAGGACTACGAAGCGCCCCGTGGCTGGCTTAAAAGTTCATTGCATGCCAGGAAGTATTTGTTATTGTTAGATTCAGACGAGGATGGACGTTGCATTGCTAAAATGGCTACAAAACGGACCTTTTGATGTCAAGCAGCTAAGACAAGAAGAGCTCTGATGCTGGAAGAGAGGGTAAAAGTGATCAAAATGAAAGACGGAGCAAGCAAAATAA